TCGAATGTTGTAGCAAAATTGCAGTTACGTTGTGTTTGGTCTTGTTGCATCCTTCCCGCAACATTGCAGCAACGTCGTGGTTTCGTCGTGTGTATGGCGGGCTGTCTGGGTCTGGTCCTGTTGAATATCCGGTGAGATATTTGACTTTGTATAGGACCATGAATCCCTGAATCCTACTCACGTGAATCCTAGTCATGAATCCAGGTGGCCTCATCTGGTTGTATTCGCTTTGGGGTTGAGCTACGGTTCTTGGGTCCCGCCTTATTGACTCATGACATGAAAGACTCGGAGGGAGTCTTTCTACCTCCAGATATGCTGAAGGATGCTGCTGGAGTCTTTCTACAGCATCTCATATCTTCGCGCATTCCAACTGTTCCCTACTCAGACAGAGTGAGAGACAAGATGACATAGACAGTCTGAAATTGACGGACATATTCATTGTGAGGTAGGCAGACATGAGCTTGAGACAGGTAGGAGAAGAGTGCAAGAAAGGCTGAGAAAGAGTGCGAAAAATATGCAAGCGATGAGTCACAATAACGTGGCTGAAGTATGTTGATCAGACCACACACTAGAAATTGAAGGGACGACGACGTTTCGGTCCGTCCTGGACCATTCTCAAGTCGATTGTGAGAATGGTCCAGGACGGACCGAAACGTCGTCGTCCCTTCAATTTCTAGTGTGTGGTCTGGTCAACAGTGCGAAAAATACTGAGAAAGAGTGCGAGAAAGAGTGCAAGACAGACAGGGGAAGAGTGCGAGAAAGACTGAGAAAGAGTGCAAGACAGACGGGAAGACTGCAAGCCAGACAGGGGAAGAGTGCGAGAAAGACTGAGAAAGAGTGCGAGAAAGACTGAGAAAGAGTGCGAGAAAGACTGAGAAAGAGTGCGAGAAAGACTGAGAAAGAGTGTGAGACAGACAGATATAAAAATTTAAACTCACACTCGCCTGATAAACGGGACATACTGCGGACTGCCTATCAGATCATTTCCAAGCAAGAAAGGCACAAGATTAATCTATTTACCATGTGGGAAAATGAGTTACGAGTCTCCGTGAACCAGGCCCTTGGAGCCGCTGGCACCATTAGTTACGAGTGCCACTTCAACGGCAGGGGAAAAAAACTTTGCAATTAATGATGGTTGTCCTCGGATTGTTTGAAAAGTAAACTGTTGGAGTGGTTTACGGATACCAAGTGTTTCTCTCCATCTTTTGGGGTCTTAAGATTGAGTTCAGAGCATTTGGCTGCGCTTACAGGCGCTGTGATCTTATGTGTTAGGTTAGGGTTAGGTTAGGTTAGGCTGCCTACAAATCTGAAATCTGTTTTTAGTTCTGGGGATCAATGTCCCCGCGGCCCGGTCTCTGACGAAGCTGTTGGACGCGGCTGCTCGCAGCCTGACGTATGAGTCACAGCCTGGTTGATCAGGTATTCTTTGGAGGCGTTCGTCAAGTTCTCTCTTGAACACTGTGAGGGGTCGGCAAGTTATGCCCCTTATGTGTAGTGGAAGCGTGTTGAACAGTCTCGGACCTCTGATGTTGATACTTCACTCTTGAACACTGTGAGGGGTCGGCCAGTTATGCCCCTTATGTGTAGTGGAAGCGTGTTGAACAGTCTCGGACCTCTGATGTTGATACTTCACTCTTGAACACTGTGAGGGGTCGGCCAGTTATGTCCCTTATGTGTAGTGGAAGCGTGTTGAACAGTCTCGGGCCTCTGATGTTGATAGTTCTCTCTTGAACACTGTGAGGGGTCGGCGAGTTATGTCCCTTATGTGTAGTGGAAGCGTGTTGAACAGTCTCGGGCCTCTGATGTTGATAGTTCTCTCTTGAACACTGTGAGGGTCGGCGAGTTATGTCCCTTATGTGTAGTGGAAGCGTGTTGAACAGTCTCGGGCCTCTGATGTTGATAGTTCTCTCTCAGAGTACGTGTTGCACCTCTGCTCTTCAACGGGGGATATTCTGCACATCCTGCCATGCCTCCTGGTCTCATGTGGTGTTATTTCTGAGTGCAGGTTTGGGACCAGCCCCTCTAATACTTTCATGTTTAAAATATTGCATGTTTTTTTTTAGCTTGAGTTCTAGAGAATACAGATTGATAAATTTTAAGCAGTCCCAATAATTTAGATGTTTTGTTGAATGGATTCAGGCACGTTCTCCAGGTCAGCAATTTCTCCAGCTTTGAATTGAGCTGTTAGTGTGCAACTATATTCTATCCTAAAGAGAACTAGTGCTTTAAAAAATATCATCAATGAATAGACATCTCTTCTGTGAAAGGTCCTTGTTGGATAGTTATCCAACCTGTCATTTTTCTTACAGTCGTGACAGCAACTTTACTGTGTTCTTTACCAGTAAGGTTAACATGACTGCTCTCAGATCTCTTATGATTTACATTAATTTGAAGACTACTGTGTCTTAATTGTCATTTGCGAAGGAATTATAGTTTGTGTCGTTTTCTGTCTCCTATGTTATCTATGACGATGAGAAAATGGGCTAATACATACTCAGGGGGGACTGAGCTCTTCACGGTGGAGGATCCGGATTTGACTGAGTTAAGAGATTAAAGATCTTTTTATATTTGCCAATATTTCCTTTCTAGAGTGGTAATAATGCCCCCAATGCTCTCCAACTCCACATGCTCTGAGGACCTGCAGCCTATCTTGAGATGATTTCGGGGCTTTAGTGTCCCCGCGGCCCGGTCCTCGACCAGGCCTCCACCCCCCAGGAAGCAACCCGTGACAGCTGACTAACACCCAGGTACCTATTTTACTACTAGGTAACAGGGGGCCATAGGGGTGAAAGAAACTCTGCCCATTGTTTCTCGCCGGCGCCTGGGATCGAACCCAGGACCACACAGGATCACAAGTCCAGCGTGCTGTCCGCTCGGCCGACCGGCCCCCCTAGCCTACCAGCTAACAAGCGTACAATAGTGAATGTTGTAGCTCCAACAGGGTGCTCAGGCATCCCCCACACGCCTGCGCCTCCTACTCTCAGCTACGTACCGAGAATGAAAGCACTGTGTGCTGTGAATATATTCCCGCCCCCCGCCGCCCCCCACTATCAACACCCGGGTATATTTGTGGTAAATATAACCGCCCCCCCCAGACCGTGGTATAGCGGCGACTGGGGGTCATCAGAGACCCCTGCCCATCAGATGCAGCGGCCCGTCAGAGATAGCAGCCCATCAGAGGCAGCTGCCCATCAGAGACAGCTGCCCATCAGAGACAGTGGCCCATCAGAGGCAGCTGCCCATCAGAGATACCGGCCCATCAGAGCCCCCTGCCCATCAGAGATACCGGCCCATCAGAGCCCCCTGCCCATCAGAGTCCCCTGCCCATCAGAGACCCCTGCCCATCAGAGGCAGCGGCCCATCAGAGGCAGCGGCCCATCAGAGATAGCGGCCCATCAGAGGCAGCGGCCCATCAGAGGCCCCTGCCCATCAGAGACCCCTGCCCATCAGAGGCAGCGGCCCATCAGAGCCCCCTGCCCATCAGAGCGCCCTGCCCATCAGAGACCCCTGCCCATCAGAGGCCCCTGCCCATCAGAGACCCCTGCCCATCAGAGACCCCTGCCCATCAGAGACCCCTGCCCATCAGAGACCCCTGCCCATCAGAGGCCCCTGCCCATCAGAGCCACCTGCCCATCAGAGCCAGCGGCCCATCAGAGCCCCCTGCCCATCAGAGCCCCCTGCCCATCAGAGACCCCTGCCCATCAGACCCCTGCCCATCAGAGACCCCTGCCCATCAGAGACCCCTGCCCATCAGAGGCCCCTGCCCATCAGAGAGCCCTGCCTCTGGCCGCCACTACCCACCATCAACACTATAACTCTACTACTGCAACACTTCCAGTAAATAACTTTACGTGTAAAGACGCCTTACTGTGTTGACGGAGCCTTAAGGACGAGGCCCTTCTTGCTCGGAAACTACCTGTAACACTAGTCATGGACTGTAGTTACAATACTGTTGCTGTAATGGTAGTTACAGGGTAGTTACAGGACTCCTGCTGTAATGGTAGTTACAGGACTGTTGCTGTAATGGTAGTTACAGGACTGCTGCTGTAATGGTAGTTACAGGACTGCTGCTGTAATGACAGACTGGGTAGTTACAGGACTGTTGCTGTAATGGTAGTTACAGGACTGTTGCTGTAATGGTAGTTACAGGACTGTTGCTGTAATGACAGAGACAATTACAGGAGTACAATTGTGTACACCTCTTTCATTTCACTACATATGTGTGTGTGTGTGTGGGGTTATTCATGCCTATGCCATGTTATTATGACCTATTATCTGGCTGCCAGAGAGACCACACTGGTTCTTTATTGAACAACTGATTGGGATTCTCGCGGTGCCCAAACGATTTCGTCATTTAAGTGCCGGGAGTCCGCTTAGAGTGCAAATTAACCACACTAGTACACACGCGTCGCATCCTAACATCGGAATTCATATTACGAAAAGATTGCGAAACTCTATGGACTCAGTAGCCATCATTTGGTCACCGCTATAGGGAATGGGGGTCTGTATGGGAGCCGATGGCGCATTAAATTGGGCAACAGGGCTGACTCCGACCCACCACTAGTAGTCTCCTACCACCACCCCAATCAGTCTGCTGTATGGTTTGACCTCAAATGACACGTGGTTGACCCCAAATGACACGTGTTGACCCCAAATGACACGTGTTGACCCCAAATGACACGTGTTGACCCCAAATGACACGTGTTGACCTCAAATGACACGTGTTTGACCTCAAATGACACGTGTTTGACCTCAAATGACACGTGATTGACCCCAAATGACACATAGATTTGATTACACAGGATGAGTAGTATACTTATATACACCCAGAGGTAAACTTCAGGTGGATACTGCGGTCTACAGCTGCTGGTTGGGCGGTCTGGCAGTAGGAACCAGTGTCAAAATCCTCCTGTCAAAGATATTACAAAAAAAGAATGCATTCATACCACTTGCGGCACGTGTGCCACGATTGAAAATGAAAACCTGGTACTGGTACTGACCTTTGGTGGAAGTGCTGGAGGAGGAGACGACGGTGTGCACCGTAGCGGCGGACTGTTCACTCTGAGTCGAGTTATTCCTCGAGATTCCCTTATGAGTGCCACACCGGCACTTCACCGATCCTCCGAGGGACTCTGAGTCGGAGACTGAGAGCGCTCGTCGGTCACTCTTGAGGGCCTCCTGGCGGAGTAGCTTCTCCCGACGGGCCCTCAGTAGCGCCGCGAACCTGGCCGGGCCGCGGCGCAATCTGCCTGTTGTGGTTGGCGCGGAGGGCGGCGGAGGGGGTGAGGAGGGAGGGGAGGCGGCGACCAGCTCTGTGCTGCTATCACCCATGGTGCACCTGTGGGGGTTAGCACACTAGTGACCCCTCGCCACTAAGGCTGAGCACATCATTGACTTCCTCACACTATATTGGCACACCAGTGGCACCTCCACACCAGTGGCACCTACACACCAGTGGCACCTCCACACCAGTGGCACCTACACACCAGTGGCACCTACACACACGTAGCACCTCCACACACCAGTGACCGCAACACTAATAAACCCGCGAACACATGAGACACCGGTTAACACACTATAGTCACACACTGGCACTACTGACACCTACACACTTGGGACACCCTCACACTACACACCCTGACACGGGTCCTGACAGGGGCAGAGACCTTGGCATCATACCCTGCGGGGCATCTACCACGCTCACTCATGCTGGCGGTGTTCGTGCCTCTTCCGGCGGGGTGCTCATGCCACCTGCGGCACGTGTACCACTTGCGACGGGCTGGTCATGCCACCTGCGGCACGTGTACCACTAGCGATGGGCTGGTCATGCCACCTGCAGCACGCGTACCACTTGCGACGGGCTGTTCATGCCACCTGCGGCACGCGTACCACTTACGACGGGGTTGTCATGCCACCTGCGACACGCGTACCACTTGCGACGGGCTGGTCATGCCACCTGCGACACGCGTACCACTTACGACGGGGTGGTCATGCCAACTGCGGCACGCGTACCACTTGCGACGGGGTTGTCATGCCAACTGCGGCACGGGTACCACTTGCGACGGGGTTGTCATGCCACCTGCGGCACGTGTGCCACCCGACGACGCCGACAGGCAGGGCTTGGTCTCCGCCTCACCACGACCACCTATAAAGAAGACACCGCATCATCAGACACACGAAGAAACCATCGTATTAATTAAAACAAAAAATCACTTCATATATATATATAATGTGGGAACAAAATCAGTTTTGAACTAACACGAAAACGCTTTAGGAATATACTCACTGAAAGTTCACATTTAATCTACATCTAGAAATATTTATAGGAGGAAGAGAGAGATTTATGAGGTAAAGTCGCTTTCTGTAGTGTGAGAACGGGAATCTTGAGCTTATCTTGAGATGATTTCGGGGTTTTAGTGTCCCCGCGGCCCGGTCCTCGACCAGGCCTCCACCCCCCAGGAAGCAGCCCGTGACAGCTGACTAACACCCAGGTATCTATTTTACTGCTAGGTAACAGGGGCATAGGGTTGAAAGAAACTCTGCCCATTGTTTCTCGCCGGCGCCTGGGATCGAACCCAGGACCACACAGGATCACAAGTCCAGCGTGCCGTCCGCTCGGCCGACCGGCTCCCTTTATAATAATGAATAATTAGCTGTGATGGAGCGGACATCTTCCAACTAAACACCTGAGAATCAGAAAAGTTTGGAAAAGATGCCGCTAATTACAGGTGTTTAAGGCATATATTTTACTGGGGCAATCCCCCCCCCCTCTCTCCCTCCTCGTCTTACACAGGAGGTATGCGGGCCGTCGCATATGTTGGCAACATAACTCAGGATGAAATATGCGCATGGCGCTGCTCATCTCCCTCTCGTGTAAACAAACATAAACACATAACTCATGTATTTGTTTGTTTGTTTTCGTTTAAACGAAGGTCGTCATGTTGGGAGTATGTTTATAATGGGTCTTTGTAAAGCTCTTACGGCCGATGAGTCAATATGTGAGGGTCTCGTGGTAAGGGTGAGTCAATATGTGAGAGACTCATGGTATAGGTGAGTCAATATGTGAGAGACTCATGGTACAGGTGAGTCAATATGTGAGAGACTCATGGTGTGGGTGAGTCAATATGTGAGAGACTCATGGTATAGGTGAGTCAATATGTGAGGGACTTGTGGTGTGGGTGAGTCAATATGTGAGGGACTCGTGGTGTGGGTGAGTCAATATGTGAGGGACTCGTGGTGTGGGTGAGTCAATATGTGAGGGACTTGTGGTATAGGTGAGTCAATATGTGAGGGACTCGTGGTATAGGTGAGTCAATATGTGAGGGACTCATGGTAAGGGTGAGTCAATATGTGAGGGACTCATGGTAAGGGTGAGTCAATATGTGAGGGACTTGTGGTATGGGTGAGTCAATATGTGAGGGACTCATGGTATAGGTGAGTCAATATGTGAGGGACTCGTCACGTACCAGTCACGTACTCTACCAGTTGTGTACTCTACCAGTCACGTACTCTACCAGTCCCGTACTCTACCAGTCACGTACTCTACCAGTCACGTACTCTACCAGTTGTGTACTCTACCAGTCACGTACTCTACCAGTCCCGTACTCTACCAGTCCCGTACTCTACCAGTCACGTACTCTACCAGTCCCGTACTCTACCAGTCACGTACTCTACCAGTCCCGTACTCTACCAGTCACGTACTCTACCAGTCCCGTACTCTACCAGTCACGTACTCTACCAGTCACGTACTCTACCAGTCACGTACTCTACCAGTCACGTACTCTACCAGTCACGTACTCCACCAGTCACGTACTCTACCAGTCACGTACTCTACCAGTCACGTACTCTACCAGTCACGTACTCCACCAGTCACGTACTCTACCAGTCACGTACTCTACCAGTTGTGTACTCTACCAGTTGTGTACTCTACCAGTCACGTACTCTACCAGTCCCGTACTCTACCAGTCACGTACTCTACCAGTCCCGTACTCTACCAGTCACGTACTCTACCAGTCCCGTACTCTACCAGTCACGTACTCTACCAGTCACGTACTCTACCAGTCACGTACTCTACCAGTCCCGTACTCTACCAGTCACGTACTCTACCAGTCACGTACTCTACCAGTCACGTACTCTACCAGTCCCGTACTCTACCAGTCACGTACTCTACCAGTCCCGTACTCTACCAGTCACGTACTCTACCAGTCACGTACTCTACCAGTCACGTACTCTACCAGTCACGTACTCTACCAGTCCCGTACTCTACCAGTCACGTACTCTACCAGTCACGTACTCTACCAGTCACGTACTCTACCAGTCACGTACCATCAGCACTAAACCGTCCTCTCCCACGCAAAATGCTCCTCAGAAGAGCCTCTCCACCTCTCAAACCCCTCTGGGAATTTTTATATTAAAAGGTCAAATGTTCTTTGAGCCCGACTGATGCCCTGAGGCACGACTCATGCCCCAGGGGCACGACTCATGCCCCAGGGGCACGACTGATGCCCCAGGGCACGACTCATGCCCCAGGGGCACGACTCATGCCCCAGGGGCACGACTCATGCCCCAGGGGCACGACTCATGCCCCAGGGGCACGACTCATGCCACAGGGGCACGACTCATGCCCCAGGGGCACGACTCATGCCCCAGGGGCACGACTCATGCCCCAGGGGCACGACTCATGCCCCAGGGGCACGACTCATGCCCCAGGGGCACGACTCATGCCCCAGAGGCAAGACTCATGCCCCAGGGGCACGACTCATGTCCCAGGGGCACGACTCATGCCCCGGGGCAGCGTGACGACCCTCTGCCTCGCTCTATCAGATGATTGAAGACTGTTTAACTTCTTGGGGGCGCAAACATTCGATCTCAATTGGATTCCTGTGGCTGAGACGGCATCTTGGGACGACCCTATCCCAGTAGGGGTGGTGATTGGTGCCCAATGGTAGTTTAGAAGCTGTACGTGATGATGTGTGACGTACAGGGCACGGTTGAATGCTGTCAAACTGTCAATAAACTGGTGTTGCATACATCAGGCTGTTGCAAGGTGCAAGGGAACACAATATCAGTGTTTTATCTGTTAGAAAACACGATTAAACACTTGTTCAGTCTTTACGTTAGTCTTGAGTCTTAAGTTTAGTCTTGAGTCTTAAGTTTAGTCTTGAGTCTTAAGTTTAGTCTTGAGTCTTCATAGGAATGCTGATAAAAAATACAGATGAAAATCGTTCAAGTGAAATGAAGAGCGAGAAAATAATTTGTCCTCAGACTGGTCAGTATTTATCAAGGTGGAGCTCCAGTGCTTGTCCTCCGACTGGCCTGGCCTACCCTCCCCCCAACACTAGAGGATCAAGCAAGCTGTTCGTCACCACGGGGCTCTGGTGCGGGGCGGACCAAATATCACAATTTTTACATATTTATCAGCGCTATTATCCTCCGCGTCACCTAACTCTTCACAACACACACACACACACACACTGTAGTGGAGGCTGACTCCATACACAGTTTATAATGTAGATATGATAGAGCCCAATAGGCTCAGGAATCTGTACACCAGTTGATTGACGGTTGAGAGGCGGGACAAAAGAGCCAAAGCTCAACCCCCGCAAGCACTGCCCTGCGCACTACCCTGCGCATCACCCTGCGCATCACCCTGCGCACCGCCCTGCGCATCACCCTGCGCATCACCCTGCGCATCACCCTGCGCACACACCACCCACTACCCTGCGCAGTGCCCGCGCCACAAGTCATATACCCACTAGAGGCGCGCCATAATCTCCCACACCTGACTATTAAGGCGCCACACCTGCAGCGCCCTCAGTATATTATTAAACTATGTCAATGATCTCCAAGTTTATATCATTATATATACTTATTCCACCAGTATATCCTATGCTCCTCTACTAACAGTATATGGCTATATGAGCTATATACCGCGCCACAGACCAGGGCCATCAGACACGTATATATATACAACCACTAACGAAACCACTCCATCTTCTATCAGTCATGGCGGCTGTGTTTACATAACCTCAAAGTTTATGACTTCAGAGGACTATATGAGATTGTTGATAGCAATAACAACTTTATTGTCTGCAATTGCAATGGTCACAATCTTTAGTGGACGTAAACAACTCACACTGATTGTTGAAAGATGAACTGGTTTCGTAAATAGATGTATAAATGGGTGACACATCCTGGCCCATTTGGGAAGGATCTACTTGGCTGGGGTACAGGTGTGGCAGGTGTCATGATGGCTGGGGTACAGGTGTGGCAGATGCCATGATGGCTGGGGTACAGGTGTGGCAGGTGTCATGATGGCTGGGGTACAGGTGTGGCAGGTGTCATGATGGCTGGGGTACAGGTGTGGCAGGTGTCATGATGGCTGGGGTACAGGTGTGGCAGCTGCCATGATGGCTGGGGTACAGGTGTGGCAGGTGTCATGATGGCTGGGGTACAGGTGTGGCAGGTGTCATGATGGCTGGGGTACAGCTGTGGCAGCTGCCATGATGGCTGCATCATACCACCAACAACAGCCTCAGATGCCCACATGCATCGTGCTCTCAACAACAGCTCAACAGATCACTGATAAACAGTCAGCCTGGGTTTAAAACTGATGAATATGATGTAAACTCTATAGCATGGTACCTTCAAGAGAGTAAACCTATGTGAAAGTACCACTCTTGTGTCCCAAACAGTGGTATACCCAGGTATACCCAGGTATACCCAGGTTTAGCCTGGTTGATCAGTCCAGCAACCAGGAGGCCTGGTCGACGACCGGGCCGCGGGGACACTAAGCCCCGGAAGCACCTCAAGGTAGGAGCCGGTCGGCCGAGCGGACAGCACGCTGGACTTGTGATCCTGTGGTCCCGGGTTCGATCCCAGGCGCGGGCGAGAAACAATGGGCAGAGTTTCTTTCACCCTATGCCCCTGTTACCTAGCAGTAAAATAGGTACCTGGGTGTTAGTCAGCTGTCACGGGCTGCTTCCTGGGGGTGGAGGCCTGGTCGAGGACCGGGCCGCGGGGACACTAAGCCCCGGAAGCACCTCAAGATAGGTACCCACTGGGTATATCCCCAGCCACTGACAGAGGGGCCT